TCTCACTCTTCACTTGAGTCCCCTTGGTGTAGAATGAGGGCTCTATTTATAGTTTTTCTGGAGTGGTATAGCCCGTAAATAGGCGTGAGATCAAGGGCGAATTGGGAGTGGTTTGAATGGACTGCCGATATCGAATCCTTTTATCATACACCGTTCATTGGTCATTTGAAGGTCTTAATGATGTACTCCAAAAATTATCTTGATCGGGCACGAATCTCGAGGCAAAAGCTAGTTGGAAACTTCAAAAATTAATTTTGGGAGCACCCGAACTCTAATTTCAGCGAGCTTACAGTCAAACTGAGCGCCTTGGAAATACGAATCCAACGACACCAAGATCAACCCAATCCGAGCCCAAATGAGTCCGAATCAAGGGCTCAAAGCGCTGTTGGAAGGTTCAAACTGCAATTTGAGTTACCAAGTGGTCTCCGATTTTAACGAGCTTATACTCGAATCGAACGGCTCGACGAGACGAATCCAACGAGCCCAAGATCGCCAAATTCCGACATCATTAAGGCCTTCAAATGACCAACAAACGGTATATGATAAAAGGATTCGATATCGGCCGTCCATTCAAACCACTCCCAAGTATTTAGATCTTCCATGTTATATTTTCCCTTTGCACATCCTCATCTTCTTCCTTTTCCTTCATCTTCTTCCTTTTCCTTGTTTCCTCCTTTGGAGATCATTTTTGGGATTCTTCAATGTGACATTCTCCTTTAGCAATCTTTCTATATGTTTTCACATTAATACAAGATCATCGCTTTCAAAACATAAGGTTAGAGAGTCCAAAATACTTAGTTGGTCTTGAAGTTTTGAAATAATTTTAAGTTCATTTGGTGACAATACGAAATGAATTTTGAAAGGTTTGAAGAATTGAAATTACTTAATTCAAGATCGTTGAACTAAAGAATTATAATGAATGTATTATTTATTTACGTAGATTCCATTTCTTTCTTTCGATTTGATTTTTGACTGATTTGATCTAATATGATACAAGAACAAATAGAAGAGAATATTTTATACGTTCTAATGGTGACCACCTAAGGGTGTGGACGAAGAAGCATAGAGCTTATCAATTTATCTGATAATATTTAATGTGAAATGATGTCAAAGCATTTAAAATTGAATAAATTAAGTAGATAATACATACTTAAAACCCTAAACCCTACACAAAATCAATAAAAAATGGGTGGGTAGACCATACGTGAGGGCATTCACATATAGGAGAGAGTGCCTTTGAATCTCATGGTTATAGTATGAGTTCAAAACTAGTCCAATTAGAATTTTCTAGCATCAATCAACTAGAGGTGTAATTGAGTCAAATCGACTCGAATTTGACTCAATAAGTGGCTCATATGCTGAGCTCAATAAGCGAAAGATATATGCTTTAGCCACCATCAACTTGACTTTTAACTCGTGAGCCAACTTGTTTAATAAAATTTAATATAGACAATAATAATATCAAATATTTATCTCACTATGTGAGGTTGGCCACATTAATCATTTTTTTCTTTTGTGTCTTATTAAGAGTGAAATTTTAATATAAATAATGATTAAAATATATTAAAATTTAAGAATGTAAATATAAATTATTAAAAATATTTAAAGATTATATCACTTTCATACATTAAGTGATTGCTTATAAAATTTCTCTTTAAATCATTTTATTGCAATAAAAATGACTCAATTCAAATATGTTTTTTTTTTTATTTTTTATATAATAAAAGAGCTAGTCCATGCATCAACTCAAGATTGAATTTGAGTAATTATCCAATCAAATCAAGTATGACTCGAGCTCAAATCAACTTATTTATGCCCCTACAATTAGGCTTCGTTTGGGACGGCTTTCTTCCTGCTTCTTAAAACAACTTTTTAATACAAAAATTAAAATTTTTGTGTTTAAAAGCATTTTTAAGAAGCAGCAAAAAAAATCATCCTAAACGAAGCCTTAACTATGTTTTAAAAAGCAACTTTCTAGATAAACTATATGTTTCAAAAAGCAGGAAGAAAGTCATCCCATATGAAGTCTTACTTTACTTGAATTAGAGCTTAGCTTTTAATGATTTATATAATGGATTAGATACTATGAGGGAGAAAGATATATGTATAAGTAGCCAAACAAAGAGATAGAAGTAGTAAGGATTTAGTTCAAGTGAAGTGTATTAAGGATGAAGATCAAAAAGTACTTTTCTTAGAAGATGATATTTAACAAAGCTAGATGAGATTTTTTGCTAAATTTTTTAATGAAGAATGTGAAAATACGATTGACTTTAGTGAGATTATCACCCTAAATGAAAATAAAGATTTTTATTTTTATCGGCGTATAAGTAAAACCGAAGTTAGAGAGGCTTTAAATAAAATGAATTGTGGAAAAGCTGTTGGACTTGATGATATTCCAATAGAGATGTGGAAATGCTTAGGAGATGAAGGAATTTCTTGGCTTACTAAACTTTTTAATATTGTTTTGAAGACTAAAAAGATGACAGATCAGTGGAGAATGAGTGTGTTAATTCCTATTTTTAAGAATAAAGGTGATGCACAGGAGTGTGCGAATTATAGAGGAATTAAGTTAATTTGTCATACTTTAAAACTATGGGAGCACGTTATGGAGCGTAGGTTGCAGCGTGATACTAACGTTTCTCAAAATCAATTTGGATACATGCCGGGTAGGTCTACTTTGGAAGCCATACATTTATTGAGAGGTTTGATGGAGAAATATATATAGAATAAGGAGGATCTACATATGATATTTATTGATTTAGAGAAAGCATATGATAAAGTTCCAGGAGAAGTGTATGGAGAGTTCTTGAAAAGAAAGGAGTTAATAATAATGCTTATATTCAAATCATTAAAGATATGTATGCAAGAGCTATTACTTGTGTTCAAACATTATCTGGTTTGACCAAGTATTTTCCTATTTTAGTTTGGATTACATCAAGGATCAACCTTAAGTCCATATCTTTTTGCTTTAGTCATGGATGTTCTCACTAGACATTTGCAAGAGGATGTACCTTGGTGTATGCTTTTTACTGATGATATTCTTCTTGTTGATAAGACTAGAGAGGGAGTGAAGGTAAACTTGAATTATGGAGGTCAACTTTCGAGCTAAAGGCTTTCGCTTGAGTAGATCTAAAACTGAATAAATGAAGTATAATTTTAGTAGCAATAGACCTAGTGAGGGGATTGTGATTTTGGGTGATCAAGTCATTAATAAGAGTACACATTTTAGATATCTTGGATCTATTGTTCAGAGGAATGGTGAAATTGATGGGGATATTAACAGCAGAATTCAAGTTGGATGGTTGAAGTGGAGGAATGCATCGGGCTTATTGTGCGATAGAAAAGTCCCCCTCAAACTTAAGGGAAATTTCTATAAGATGGTGGTGAGACCTGCAATGCTTTATGGTGCTGAATGTTAGCCATTCAAAGAGAAGCATAATACTAAGTTAAGTGTTGCAGAGATGAGGATGCTTAGGTGGATGAGTGGCTTAACCCTTAGACATAGGATACAAAATGAGAATATACGTGAAAAGATTGGAGTAGCTCTAGTGGAAGATAAGATTAGAGAGAGTCGCCTTAGATGGTTTGGTCACATTAAACGAAGGCCTCCCGATGACCCGGTTAGAAAAGTTGAGGTATTAGATTTGACTTATGTTAAGAAAGGTAGAGGTAGACCTAAAAAGACTTTGTTAGAAAATATTAGAAATGATATTTCTTTATTAAATTTAAATGAGAATTTGACTTTTAACTAGACACATTGGCGAAAAAGGATTTATATAGCCGACCCCACATAGTGGGACAAAGGCTTAATGTTGTTGTTGTTATTGTATGATTATCATATATTCTTGAGTAATGAAACATTTGATCAAAATTGGGTTAAGGGTTTGTTTGAGAGACAATTTGCGTTTAAGATGGCAATCATAATTTTGATTGGCCAATGCTTTCTTACTATTTTTCAAAAAAAAATCTAATGAAAATTTACTTTTTACAACCAGAGTAGCTAAATTATTTTCCCCACAATAATTTCATAGTTTCAAATTTTATAAATAATTGCAGTCATCCTAAACAGATCCAAAGCCAATTGAATTTTGAGAAAGCCTTTAGTGATGAATTTGCTTTTAAAATAAATTAATAAATCAACTATAAAGATGTTACTTTTATGTGTTTAACTTGTTAGTAATAACTTGTTTGAGATAACTCTCTTATTGCTTTGATTTCAGATCGTAACAGTTTCTATTTAACTACTACTTTTTTTCCACTTTCATGAAATTTATGTACCTAAAAGCAACTTTATTAGCCGCTTTCAAAAAAACATATTTTCCTCGCAACAACTTAACAATTATCTTTGAAAAAAATTATTGACATCTCAAATAGACCCATATTATCAAAAGTTCATAAAGTTTAACTACACTATTTTTAATAGTTTAAGGTGAATTATATATTTTATTTTCATCTTAGGTGCAAATATAGAGCTTATTTTATTTTCCAAACTTAGCAATATAGAGCTTGTTTGAGACAACTTTTTCCTAGCTTTATTTTTCAAATCACAATTATTATTTTATTTGATTACTCATTTCTCACTATTTTATATTAATTTATATTCTATGTGATGAAAATTATTTTTAGAATTGGGCTAAGCCAAATTAATTAACCTAATAAATTACCTAAAGACTTAGGCTTTAATTGAGAAGACTTTCTTGTTGCTTCTTAGCACAATTTTCTAATACGCATTTTATTATTATTTTTTATTAAAAAATTATTTTAAGAAGCAACGAGAAAGCCGTGCCAACGAAACCTTTTGCGCATTGGAAAGATCTCAAATGCCCAAAAATATTCATGATTATTTTATTATAATTGTTTAAAGTTTCCATAATTTTCAAAATGACGCTTGAAATATAAATATCTACAATTACATAACCCAAAATGTTTTAATTAATCAAATGTTAATTGCACGTTGATGATTAATTCCGTTCAATAAAAATGAAACAGAATAAACTCGATTTATCACTTTGGGATGGAACCGATCAAACTTTATAATTTCCTATTTTGTCAAATTCATTAGCTGCAAAAGAATTAACTGTACAGGTAAGAAAATAATGAAATATAATACAAGAATAGTGTTCTCCAGCCTAAGAAGCATTGGTATGGCATGAACAATATAGATTATTAGGTGCGGAGTGCAGACGGGGAGAACCGTCCGCATAAGTATTGGGTACCTAGCGGTACCCGCACTTGGTACCACTGGGTACCCAGTACTTGAGCGGACGGTGCGCACTCAGCACCTAATAATTTTTCCCAGAACAAAGCTTTTCAGGCTTTAAGAGTCATTCTCTGTAAGCGGAATCGGTTGTTCCTGTTGTTGAGGACGTCTATGTATATTCGTAGGCGTTGTCGATCGGAAATTGTGAGACAGACCGGCGGGTACAGGTTAAGGCATGGCGCTTCCAATAGAAGGAAATGTAGTAAAATCACCGCCTTCGAGTACCAAACCTCAGCCCTCTCAATGTTTTTCATCACCTCATCAACCTACATTTTGAAGAAAATTCTTCATTGTAATATGACTAGTAAATCATAAAGTAGGAAATACTTTCAGAATACTAATATAAAATTTTATTTTTTCACTAAAAAATTGTTTTAAGCTGTATAAATAGTATGCATAGGACGAATTTCCACTCACAGCACCACGCCTTCCAAATGCAAGCGCGGATTGGAATATTAGCTCAATAGCATCGGGCATATGTGCAGCTTCTGCATGTAAATAACAGATAATATAAGGAACATGTAAAGCAGAGTTTTCTTTACTCGGCAGTAGAGTCTAAAAGGGACATTATACCGTCTACTTGTCCGACGTCCTTGGCAAGTTCCTCTGCATGCTCGACTGAAAGAAGGAACTCTTTTTCGATCTCAGATGAAACAGAATGAGAAGCTTTACTATTTTGGGGGGATTTAATAGTTTCAAATGACGGGCTTTCTTCTGCAGCAACGACAGCTTGTGCGTGACAGATGTGCAGACTTTGCTTCAGAATTGCTAGAATTAGTAACTGAATGGAGAACGCCTCCAACAGCATATCATTTTCAAGCTGCAAAAAAATGTTGTTTGCAACGTAATAGCTTTGTTAAAAATAGACATAAACAAGTAAAGAATTATGTTTAATCATGTCTAAGAAAATATTTGTGAGATGCAAACATAATAAACTTATGACCTCAACATCTATAGGTGTAAATAAGTTTGAGACAATAACATAAAATGGGATATTAAATAAGCAATATCATATTCTTATTAACCTACTTGTTAAACAACAGACACAATTGCCCTAAAACATACAAAAACAAGACAGAAAATGTCAAACATGTTTATTTGGATGTCAAGGTTCTGAATTTAGGTTCAAGTAAATGAATATAAACGATCCTTAGTGGCACTAGTATGGAGTTATTCATCCAACAAGTTGACCATTTTACAGCCCTATTCTCAATGTTATTGTCTGCAGGAAAAACATTTATCATACAACCAACATTAAACTTTCATGAATTATTAAATTAATAAGAAATCATACGCTTCAAAAACCATATTGATTCAATCAAGGGTCTTACCTGTTCCTTCACCAACTCAGCCATAACAAAAGTGCATTGCTGCAAAAATCTAATCCTTGTCATACAGCGAGCTGATGGTTGTTCAATTGTATCCCACAAATCCATGGATCCTTGTTCTGGAAAGCTGTCACTTTCTAGGCTTCTCATTGTGTGGATATTATTGATTGAAACTCCAACAATAGGCATCGGTGCACTTAATGCACTATTTCTAGATGCCTCTAACGAGTTTTCAGATTTGCAGGTTGAGTTTCGTGACTCAGAGAGACTTAATAAAGAAGATGACATCTCTAAGAGTGATCCAGACACAATAACATATTCCTGATCAAGCAAGTCTAGTGAATCCACAATTTTGGGATCTATGAATGTGTAACAGAAAAAGTTAGAACCATCCGTTGAAGTCTAGAAAGTATTAGATTTGATGTGAAAAAGAAAAGGGTGTACCCTGTTTAGCACCTATGGCAGACAAACTCGTCTCCTTCGTATTTCCAGTTGGGTGTCTGCTGGAATCATGTCCATAAGAAGTTTCCATTTTATTAATGGAGCTAGGTTCGGAAACAGCACTCAATTTGGAGGAATTAGTAGGACTTTGATGGACGGCCACACTAAATCCATAAGTGGGACTAACTGGGCTCCCATTCACAGTTGCCAACGGGCTTCCATGAGGCATTCCAGACTCATCATCTAAAGGGAAAGGCAACCAGTCTTGGTAACTTTCTCCCGAGGGCCTTCTATGGCTGAAACCAGCTGATGCAACAGATGAACTCTGGCTGCTCATGATTACAAAGATTTAGATTCTTAAGAATAAAAAAAAAGAAATTTTGTTCATCGCCTTGAAATAGTCTCAAGCATCCAGTCAATATGCTCACCTCGTTGATTCATCTGACTTCTGTGGTGAAAGAAATGGGTGGTTGAAGAACTCCTCAAAAGATACACGTTCCACTGGAGACATTTCATGCAATAAGTTTAAAATGACATGCCAATAATATGCCAATAAGAACTATTGCTTACACAACTAGACATGCACAACTTTTATGATTTATTAGCCAACTTATTTTTTAGTTTGTTATGAGCTCAAATACTCGTAACAGTAGAAGGAAGGTGTACATCTTAACGTTGCAAGAAAATCTCATGCATCGTATAAGTTAATGGTACATAGGGAATGAGAATTTTTAGGTGGAAATTTTAATAAAGAGAAAAAAACAGGATCTAGTGTTGTTGAAATAATTTCACTAATATGAGTCAAGAATTACAAAGAATGTTCTTCCCTAAGTGTTATAAAATATAATAAACATAAACGGTCAAAGCACTCCTGTCTTGGTAGAAGTGGAGTCAAAGTTATCAGTAGATAATGGTAAGCGGTTGACTTGATCATAGACTAGGAGACATGGAAGACATGCATTGGAAGGCTATAGCTGACATATGCCTGTCGTTGGTAGGCATTGAGCAACCATTGATAGAGAAAATAAAAAATAAGATGTAATACAAGAATATAGAATAACTCATTAAGCAACTAATTAAGCAATCACAAATTAGTACTTTATCAAATTTTAGCGAGCTTATTAATAAACAATAAAAATGTCTGAAAGCGTAAATGAAAGAGCGTGTCAGATTTCAAACTTATTCATTGATAAGATATACTTTTAAAATTTTATTTAAGATTGTTCAATAATGCAAATAAAAGAATATAAATGATCCTTATACAAATGACAATCAAATTATTCATTGATTACACTTGTACATTTACAACCCAACTCGGGGGCCTACGAATTGCCCAAAGAGGTGTGATAAGCCCAAGCCAGCATTTGTGTAGGTATATGCGACGATTCTACCAAGTGCATCATTGGATTTTCAAATTGTTTTATTTTTAAATTTCCTATTATAATGCCTTAACAAATGGACATTTTTAATATGCTTTATAACAACAACAACATCAAGCCTTTATCCCACTGTGTGGGATAAACGCTATATAAATCATTTTTCTTCATGATGTCCTATTAAGAATAAATTGTCATTTAAATCTAATATGTACATGTTTAATATACTTTGAATATTAAAAAATAATCACCATAAATTTGCAAGGAAATCCAAAAGAAATACTAAAAAAACTCTCCCCTCCGCTAAAATGATCACAAGAGGTCTAAAAGTGATCATAGCTTTTTCTCCCGACTAAAATTCTACACTAAAAAAGAGGCCAAGAACTATAAGGCAAGAGGCATAATTGTGAGCACCAAAGTTCACTGTTTTCCTTCGATGCTCTAATCTTCATCAAAAAAGAGGTTGATTATCCTTATAGCAAAAATTTAAACATAAGCATTAAAATGTTTTGTATGGTTCTTTAGAAAATAAGTCAATCATCTCTAAACTTGACATCTAAATATAAAGACATGGAAATTGATATGGCGACGTTCCATCAACAAGGTTGTTGATGGGATAATAATTACAACAAAAAGTATCCATTCAAGAAGGCCGAGGGTTCAACCAATAATCCGATTTTTAGAATTTTCAAAAAAAAAATTATAATCTTTAGTATGAACTATTAATTATAATTTCCACTGCAAGTGCACACTTCTCCCAAAAAAAATTGTGACTCTATCGTCTTGATTTTCAAAAAAAATATTTCAAATTTATTGATGAAGTTAGGATCTTCTAGATTCAATTAATTTCTATGATAAAATAATAAGACAATTTTCTAAATTTTTTTTGTATATTGCACATCTTGTAAGCTTCATACCTCTGTTTAAAATTGCGCAACAAGAGGCGCGCCTCTGCGCAATTTTCCCCAAAAATGCCTCGAGTCTTACGCAATTTTCATCTTGGTAGAAGCGTATGCCTCACCGGGCTTGAGGCGCGCCTCAAGGCGTACGCCTCATCAAACCGGTCTCACCTACTTAAAATGACCCATTTTCTTCCCTTGAACCCGTTTGGCTCCAGTTTTTTCCGAAAAATTCCCTCCCGCAGCCTCTGTTCGTGAAACCGACGGGATCCCGCACGCTCGGCCTCCCTTCCCGCCAACGCCGCCTCTCTCCGGCGAACTTGAAGTGTCCAGCCGCCTTCTAGGAGAATTCCACAATCGATTTTAGGTTTTTTTTTTTTTTTAGTTTATGGTTAGATTTTTCAAGTGAAAGAAAATCTAGGGTTTTCGATTTTTTGAATTATTTTGTGTGTTTTTGGATTCTTGTATTAGGAAATATGGTTAGAGGCAAGGAAAAGGTGAATACGTCATTGCGGCGTGACCCTTCTTGGAAATATAGTGTGCAAGTTGACATAGGAGGCGGCGAGAAGACGTATGTGTATTTAAAATGTAATTTTTGTAAGAAAGTGGTGAAGGGCGGAGTAACCCGCATGAAGGAACACTTATCATGCTCTCATAAGAACGTAGCACCGTGTGCAAAAGTGTAGGATAAGGTGAAGGATGAAATAATTGCTTACATGAAGAAAATTACACGGCAAAACACTTAAAATAAGAGCAATTTGATGAAAGGGTCGAACATGGTGCTTACTTCGGGAGCGAGCGTAGAAAGGGCTCTTCCTCCACTATACATAATAGAGGTGCACGGGGTCCTATGGATCAGTATATGACTAATCCAGGAGAGGATAGAGGACAAGCAAAGATGATGCCTGCGGCTGGTACCAGAAAGGGTCGACGACAGGTTTGCATGGATATTGGCAGGCTTTTTTTTGAGAATGTCATACCATTTAATGTTGCGACATCGCCTGCCTACTTCAATATGCTGCGGTCTGTAGGATTGTATGGGAGATGGTTGAAGGCGCCATCCATGTACGAGTTGCGAACATGAATTTTGAAGGAGAAGCTGCAGAACACAGAGCGGAGCATTGATGAGATTAAACGGACATGGATTGAGACTGGTGTTACCATTATGTCAGATGGATGGTCTGACATGAAGAGCAGGAGCTTAATTAACATCCTTGTCAACAATCCCTACGGCACGGTGTTTTTACGATCAGTTGAAGCTTCAGATGAGGTTAAAAATGCTTCATTTATTTTCAATTTACTAGATGGGGTTATTTAGGAGATTGGGGAGCAATTGGTTGTGCAAGTGGTGACTGACAATGCCAGTGCATACAAAGCAGCTGGTCAGATGTTGATAGAGAAGATGACACACCTATATTGGACCCCCTGCGCAGCACATTGTATCGATCTCATTTTGGAGGAACTTGGTGACTTACTTCAGCACAAGAGCGCTCTTTCTAAGGCGAAGAAGATCACAAAGTTCATCTACAACCACTCATGGGTCTTAGCCTTGATGAGAAAGTTTTCAAAGAAGGAAATCATTCGCCCTGCAACCACTAGGTATGTTCTTACATTTGTGCACTGCAAATCATTATCAATTCCTAATGTATGTTCTTATATTTGTGCACTGCAAATCTACAGGTTTGCCACATCTTATTTGACACTGCAGAGCCTGTTGTATGTGAGACAACCTCTGGAAGTAATGTTTACATCAATAGAATGGCTTAACTCTGCGTGGGGGAAGAAAAGTGAGGGGAAGGAAATAAGAAAAATAATTCTAAATGATAAATTTTGAGCTATTGTGACCTATGCCATATTGAGCACGAGACCCTTAGTGCAAGTACTACGATTAGTGGATGTCGAGAAGAAACCAGTCATGGTTTTATTTATAATGCTATGGATGAGGCCAAGGAGTTGATTGCACCCAACTTGGGAGGAGAGGAGGCAAGTTATAGAGAGATTTGGGATATCATTGATACTCGGTGAGAGGTACAGTTACACCGTCATCTACATGCAGCGGCATATTATCTCAATCCTCAATTTCAATATTCAGAGAGGAAATCTTCAAACCCAGAGGTGAAACTTGGTCTGTATCATTGCATGGAATGACTAATACCGGAGCAGACAGATAGGGAGCTTGCAGATTTACAACTTGTTCTATTTCGGAATAAAGAGGGTTTTTTTGGTCTACATGCAGCAAAATCAACGATTGCCAAACGGTCTCCAGGATTAGTTATTTTGGTAAATGCAAGAAACTTTATTCAGTTCTGATTAGCATTTTTCTTCTTGAAAACAGTTGAATGGTGGATCCAATTTGGTGATTCCACCTCTGAGTTACAGAGTTTTGATATAAGAGTTTTGGGCCTCACTTATTCTTCTTCTGGGTGTGAGCAAAACTGGAGTACATATAGTCAAGTGCAAACAAAGAGAAGAAATTAGCTATCAACATTCAGAATGAACTCCCTTGTATATATTATGCACAACAAGAGGTTAAGATATAGGAGGTTGAGGAATAAGGGGTTGAAGGATGATGAGAATCTGTTGGTGTCTGATGATGTGTCATCTGATAATGAGTGGTTTATAGATGATGAGACAGATTTGCCATTATCAGACTTACAGCTAGAGGATCTAAGTGTGGATGTCTTGAGGGGCGAAGCAGATCAAGTGGGCACATCCACTAGTACTACACAACACACATCCACTAGCTCTGCAGCACAAAAATCAAGTAAAAGTATTCCACAACTTCTTAGATGTTATTGCATTATATTTATATCAAGTGAGCAATCAACATGATAATGAATTAATGATCATTCTTATTGAACAGGGAAGAGAAAAGTAAGTCATATTGAAGATGATGAAGATATGACATTCATAGATATAATTTGAGAAGAAGATTCCCTTGAAGACCCATTTAGTGATGGGATATAATTGGATTTTATATGTTCTTTGTACTTTGGGAGTTTTATTAAACTAATATTTTGTGATTTTGTACTTTGGGACATGATTTTATTGCATCTATTTTTTTACTTGCCATTATTTTCATATATCATTTAGATGTTTTTATTGTAAGATAGAATATTGCTATTATTTACCTGCTAAAACCCTTAAATTCTCATTTACGCAATTCTGCATCCGTGAGGCTTACGCCTCAGACCGCCTCGAGACTTACGCCTCGCCTCACGGACGA